AGGCCTATATATATTCCGCATACTCGTTTTTTTTATGTATGTACAATAAAAATGGTAAACGTACCGTCAAGTCAAATATGCTCCGTGCATCGTTCAAACTATTTTGTAAGTCACGCACAGGCTCTTCATTGAGGTCAAACATTTGAAGTGACGTCACTTTAAATTCTACTGTCGTAATACCTTCAATTATACTCGAAAATATGTGAAAATCCTATCAAATTCGAAAACAACAATCTTATGTTATTTAATACCGACAGAAAATAGGTTTATGGTGATATGAAGGATGATGGGGATGAGGTGGACGATGATAATAATGATTATGACAACGAAGATGATGATTAAAAATGATTTACCAAAAGAAAATATATTCATCTATCATTCTAGCAACTGCATGAGAAGAAAAAACTTCCATCAACCAAAAATCGTAATGTTGAAAATAAGATCATAGTGCACTTAAATATCAGCCGAAAAATTAGGCTTCACACAGCAGGCGTTTTGTGAGGTAGACCTACATGTTTTAAACTTATAAGTGATACGATTTTTTATTCTCTTTGAAATTTCAAACGACGCCAAAGAAACCCCTAGTTTTAAAGGCCACCTCAGCTCGTTGAATTATTTGGTTGACCAAGAGATCCATATGGTGATAGTGATGATGAATGACAATAATCAAATATTTAATATGATATAATAAGTAAAATATAAGTATTTAATTTGATATACCGGTACTTACGAGTGACGTAAATATCAGGTGGTAGTATTCAAACATTTTGTTTTCATTCATCTGTTAAAAAAAAACCAAAAAAACATTATATTTAACTTGATACGAAATACATTAAACTGGGGATTGTTTCCTGGTGTACTGCCCAATTTACTACCAGATGATCCCACTGGTAATCCTCAGACGCTTGTTAATTTAGTTGGGGTGCATCCCGGTGTACCGGTACTGCCCAATTTACTACCAGATGGACCCCACACACTATTGTAAATTTAAATTATAATAATGTATATATGTCTATAATTATATATAGGCTTACAAAAATATAGAGTATAAATATAGGGCTAATGAATCATATTCACATTCCGTAACATCCTGCTAAACGTTCGCAGCTGGTATGGACATAAATAAATCAAACTTTCTTGCAAACCCCCTTAAAAGTTAATTTGCCCAAAGATTGTACAGAACAGCAAATAACAGTTGTTCTATCTATCCACTTGTCCTTACTTATATTATAGAACCAAACATACTGTATTGCATAAAAATTATTATGTTTATAAATTACGCCATGCAACGTACTTGTTATTTCGAAAGGCGAAATTGTGATAAATATCGTGTTTGTTGATTGCGACATTGGCGAAGATGTGCTTGGAATAACTAAGGGAACTGTATTGGTTTGAATTAATTCGCAAAAAACGGGAAATTGTGGCTAGTCAAATAAAATATCATGTTAAAATTGAGTATAATGGTTAACATAATTCAGCAATAAGGATGGCGTAGACAGCATTTACAATCTTTAGTTCACAAAATGATCTTTCTGCCTTTAACGTCGTTGTATTTAGACTAACACGCATACCGCTATTCATTAGAACGTGTTATTAATAATCAAGAAACTAACAAGCTAGTTTACGTAGGCTTATCGGGCACTCACTGTGTCCGACGATCGTCGGCCGATGCGATTCCAATAAAGAATGCAACGCGACGACGCGCGAGCAACGGATAGCTTTTAATACGATCCGTTCAGAATGCCACCACCAATCAGCAGATAAAGAATGCAACGCGACGACGCGCGAGCAACGGATAGCTTTTAATACGATCCGTTCAGAATGCCACCACCAATCAGCAGACTGTGTCGCAGATTTGGATTCGACCGTCGTACATGGTTACCTACATGGTCGTACGACGCAATGAGTGCCCGGCTTCCACACTGTCATTTTCAGTGACCTTGCAACAATATCCAAGGGGCGTAGCTTAATGGATGGTCCATTTTACACAAAGGCTAAAATATCAAAATGGAAAAGATGATAATGGTATTACCTTAGTTAAAATATGTTCTAATGATTCCTGCCTGCAATCTATGATAACGTTTGAAATCGTACTCATTTTTTTAACGTTTTTTAAAACAACCTCATATTCACCAACTAGTCGACTTAGCATAATGTTAATTCCAATTTCGGAAGCGCTTTCGAACAGTTCTTTGAATTTCATTAGACCTGAAATAAAATATGGTAAGAGTATGATCAAACCAAAAAAAATCATACATTAAAATTAATCAATATCAACCATATTTGCTATCAATTAATCAATCCAAATTTTCCCTCATATGTTAAAAATAAGTATGTATATCTCTATTTTCATATCAAGCAGATGTGCTGTATGAAGTGTAATAATCTTTAAAAATGTGCGAAAACTGATTAAACTTCAATCAGTTTTATTTTGACCTATAGTATAGTAGAACGGCTAAGGTTTCAGAATCGTGCACTTTTGCAGGAAAGCATGAAACTTCCCACAGTGATATATGATGCATAAGGATCATTTAAAAAATAGACTAAAAAAATAAGGCCTCCTAGTAGCCGCCATCTTAAAATCCAATATGGCCGCCAAAATATTTAATTTTAACCAATATATTAATATCTACTGCACATATCACTGCCAAGTGAGGATCTTTACCCATGTTTAAAATATCAGGCAGTATCATGCAATCATCAAAAATTATGTCAAATGGCCGAAATTATTTATATTTTTGTCAATATATTCATATCTACAGTACCTTGCACAGTCAATTAAAGATTGTTATCGATGTTTTTGATATAAGGGAGTATCACGCCGCCATCAGA